TAAATTATTTATTATATAATTAAAAATAAAATTTACTATAATATTATATATATTTATAAAATTAATTTAAAAAAAAATTTTAAAAATTTTAAATTTTCATAAAAGTAAATCAGAAGGGAATTTATGGTAAATAAGCAGGCAAATTTGCCTGCGAACCTCTACAGTTTAAGGGATAATTAAACCCCTTCTTTTTGGTAAAATTATCTAACCAGATTTTAAATTCTGGCCAATTCGTAAAGGTAAGTCCAATTTTTAATTCAAACGGATCCTCCGTTTCTTCTGAATCAGTATCAAGTAGTTCCTCCATTAAAGGCTCTCCGGTTTAAATGGTTATCTGATAATCATCAAAAATTTTTTCTACTAAAGACTCTCCGATTTGAATGGGAATGGTAATCTGATGATCATCTCTATCAAAATGTTTCTCCACTAAAGCTCTTCAGTTTGAATAAGAATGGTAACCTGATAATTATTTTCATCAAACTTTTCTTCTATTAAAGAAGACTGCCCGTTTTGAATAGTTTTAACCAGATACTAATGATCATTTTCATATTTGTCACTAGAAATGAAGTTGTTCGAAGAAATAGACGCCTAACAAATAAAAGAAAGGAAAAAAAATTAGAAAGAGTTGGTGAACAAAACCAAAAAAGGGTGATAACAAAGACTAAAGAGAAGCGGAAGTATTTACTTGTGAATCGATTTTGACATTTTTATCATTTATATCATCGTGGCTTTCTTGATATATATTAATTATTAACGTGTTCTTTATTTTTTGTAGGTCGATATTTCTTGCAACATGCCGTTTTGTTTAATCTAAAGAAAATTTTTTCGTTTTAGCAAAAAAGAAACTATTTTTATTGTTGGTAAGACTTTCATATGTCTGATAAATAATGACATAACTATGATTTAATTAGTTTCGCGTGATAAACTGCAGTATATATTACGTGACTTAGACATGTTATGCAACTTTCTAAAAAAGGAACTTGTGTAATATTATTTATCAAACCCTAATCTCGATTTTGATAAGAAGCAAAATTTCCTTTTTTGGAAAGTTGTGTAACGTCACGTGATATATGTACACACACACTGTGTACATTAAGAAATTTTCTAAATATAATACTAATTAATTTTTGTTTATAATATTTTTCTAACTGTCAAAAACAATAGTTATTCGTAAATCTTATTATACTATTATAATTTATGCTTATATAATTTTTATAGTAGTTTCTTTTAAAATTTGATCAGATAATACTTATCAATTTACAATTAAATATATTTACTAAACCATAAAAAAAAGCTTTAGTTTTTAAATTATCAATCTATCTAAATAATTAGAGTATTAAAAATAAGCAGATAGCTATAAAATAATAAAAAGATACAAAATAGTAAAAATAAATGAATAATAATTTAGCTACAAAAAAGTTATAGAGTATCAAAAATATTAAAGTAGGTAATAGTATAATGTAAGTAGAATGTAAGTAGGTAACAGTCTTATAAGACTGTTATCTATTTATATTCTATTAGTAATAATAGTAAGAATAATACTATAAATATAATTAAATACTAATAATCAATAAAATAAATTATTTAATTATTTATTAATAAAATTTATTTTTTTAAATAAAATATTAGTTGACTTTAAATTATAATAAAAAGTATAATTAAATATTAATAATCAATAAAAATAAACATATCTATTAATAAAATTTATTTTTTTAAATAAAAAATTTAATTGACTTTAAATTACAATAACAAGTATAATAAATATTAATAATCAATAAAAAATAACTTACAATCTATTATATTATTAATTATTTTTTAAATAAAAAGTTTAGTTAATTTTAAATTATAATAAAAAAATTATTATTAGATCTTACTTCCTATAAGATTATAAAGAAGGTTAATATTTTTTATTTAAATTATAATAAATATAATTAATGAATTAATAAAAATAATTTTATTATCTAAATTATTAATATTTTATTTATAGATTATAATAAAAATTATAAATATAAATAACTTATAAACTAAAATTTTAATAATTATTATTAGGAATTTTTATATAATAAATTAAAAATATAAAAAATAAATAATTTGTTTCCTATTATATTATTGATTATTAGATATTTTTGAATAATAGTTTAATTAAATTTAAAATTATATAAATTAAAATATAATAAAAATTAAATGGTTTATAATCTAAGTATTATATTATTATTATTAAAATTTTTTTTTTAAAAAAAAATTATTAATTATTAAATAATTAGTAAATATTGAATAAATAAAGTTTATTACCATTTAATTCTTTTAATGTAAGAATATCTAAACTGGTTCTATTATAATTTAGAAATTTTGAAATTAATTAATATGATTTATAGCAAAATCTAATATTTAAACAATTTATAAATATTCTTTATTATTTAATCTTTCTAATATTTAAATAATTAATTAATAGTTTATTATAATTGTTGATTTATTATTATATTTGCTATTGTATTTACCTTTATTAGTACTATATTTTAAGTTTATTAAAATTTTTAATAAATAAAAACATAAATGATAAATTACAGTATTATGGTTATTATTATATTTCACATTCATTACCTAATATTAATTTTACATTATAAATATAATTAACAAATTCTTTTAGTATTGGTTTATTATTTATAAAAATTGTTGTATTTACCTTCATCAATTGAAATTGATTCTAAATTCAAATTTAATAAAATTTAATTTTAGCAAACAAAAATGAATCAGAGTGAGGTCAATAATATATGTATTACCTTCTAATAAGGAAGTTTTTTTAGCATTTAAAAGATTTTAGTATATCATCAAACCGTCAAATTAACTCATTTTAGTCATATGAAACTTCATACCTTTATTCCTATTTCTAATTTAGTGAAAAGATTTTTTAGTTTCTTTATTACACTGTTACTTTTATAATTACTATTAGACATTGTTATAATTTATAATAAAAAAAAAGTTTTTTTTTTTTAAAAAAAAAAATTTATTTCAATTTTCTTATATAACGATAACATATTTGTTCAAGGTATGTGAGAGGCACAGCACTTTAATAATTATTTTAATTAGATACAAAATAAATTTTTTGGTTGCTTTTCAAATTTTCTTTAAAAATAATTAACATCACTTGAAATTTAATCTTTAAATAAAAAGTCTTTAGATTATTGATATTTTGTGCATTATAATGTAGTTCCCAGCTAATTACATCTCTAATTGTCTAATAAGTATAAATGATTTTTATGTATTACATCTATAGATTCATTAATTGTTCTAGTTGAATCTAAAAATAATCTAATATTTAATATAAATTCATTAACAACCATATTTTGTTGTGCTGCTAAAATGTAACAAATCGTTACAATTTTTTACTTTGCTTCATTTTTGTGTACTAGATATTATCGCATTCACCATCATATCAAAAAAAAACTTATTAAACGAAAATCTGCTTCATAATTTTAAATGTCTTTATATTTAATATTAAACTTGCATGCTCTTTTCATATAAAATTTCAGTAAGTAATGGTATTGCGGTAGATAAATCTAAATAAAATATTTTGATTTATAATATTAGGTGTAAAATTTCTGTTATTAATGGTTTTCTTTGTTATAAGTTTTTGAATTTTTATTTTCAGTTTTTTTATACTTCGTATAATAATCTGATTCATAAATTTCTAAATAGTGACTATGGCAAAGTTATTGACAAACTTCTATATTATAATGATTATAAGTTTTTTTAGCAATAGCTTTTTTTTACAATTTATTGTGAAAATACAAGCTTTATTGCATTCTTTAATAATACAAAGACTAAAATATTTTTTATCATACTGGATAAAAAATTCAGTATTTCAATAGTATACTCGAAATTTTATGATTGATTTATTTTTTAAGGAGTCATTTACATTAATAAATGTATATAAGAATTTGATATTTTTAGTCATTTAATCTTTCGAAAAAGGAAACCTGAAAGGAAAATAGTCATTAGTAGGAGAAATTTTCAGTGAAGAATTTAAGATACCATTTTGAGAAAGGTTGGGTAAGTATAATAAAAATTCTATTTAAATATCATTATAGAATAATTCACTTGATTTTATTTACATTTGCTAGTATCTCATATTGCAGAAAAAAGGCGAATTAACCTGATGAAACGTGAAAGTAAGTTTATTTAAATTTTAATTTTTTTTATTTTAATTTAAATTTAAAATAAAAATCAAATTTAAAAATTTATTTTATTTAAAACAAGACCTTAGATAGAGACTCTTCTATGAAAGTTCTCTTCCTTTTAAAATCACATTTTCCTCCTTCAGGATTAACGGTTATTAGCAAGCATACTTTTAATTGCTTATTTGTTATAATAATTTTTTACTTTTATTATATACAATTTGAAATTTAGCCAAAAGCAAAAGATTTAAATATAAAAAATTCAGAATTTTAAGTCAAACCAATTGATCGGTACAGTATTATTAAACTGATATTAAAATATAGAAGTTAGTTAAACTTTACTAAACTTTTTATTATAACGAACTACAGTCTTTAGAATTAGAAGTTCGCTTAGAATATTTTAACTTTATATATATAATTTTTACCAAATAAGAGATTTTGTTCTTAAATGAATTACAATAATTAACAATTAGTTTTCTACGTAAAATGTCTGCTTAATTGTTATATTGTAGAAAGTTAAAACCTTTCTTATTCGAATTATCTGTTAGAAACTTTTTGCAGTTTGAATATATCAGTTAAACTCTTTATTCCAGAGAAAAATTAATAAACAAATTATAAATAAAAGTAAAAGTGGTCATTTCTAATATATAAATTTTCACTTAATAGTTTCCACTTGACCATTTGTAGAAATATTTTTGATCATTTAGCTTATATTTTATATGAATGAAGTAAAATGCATGTTAAGATAGTTGTTTTTTATTTTATGTTGAATTTATATTCTGTATTCTGTATTCTTAGTATTCAATGTTCATAAAAAGTTTTTTTTCCTATTAAGAAGTAAATGTAAATTCCTTTTATTGTCTGAAGTACAGCGAAGGATATTATATTCTGTGTAAAAGGGTGAAAATGTTTATCAGTCATGCATGTGATCAGTGTGACTTATATGTTATATTGTGTAATATAACTGGGAAAATTAACATATTGTGCAAAGGATGAAAATGTTTGTCAGTCACGCACATGATCAGTGTGACCTATATGTTATATTGTATAATGTAACTGGAAAAATTAACATACTGTGTAAAGGGTGAAAATATTTGTCAGTCACGTACATAATCAGTGTGACTTATATGTA